CTTCGTGAGACATTTATTTTTCTTCTTCTTTGCACTAGGGCCACAATCCGGAACAACGTTCTCGGGACTCTTCGCGGTTGGTCTTACCGGTCTAACCGGTCTTATCGGTTGGTAAATCGATTTTTCTTCGGCCGTCAGAGAGTTCCACGCGGCTCTGCCAATTCTAGCAGCCTGAACTGCTGTTAAATGCGAATTGCAGCCCTGGAATGTTTCCAAAAAGTTCAAAAAACGTTTCTCCTCGCTTTGCATATTCGCACCTCGTAGAATAACTTTTTCTTGAAAGAAAAATGAACTTTATAAAAATATATTTAGCGATCTCAAATTCGTAACTAACTCTATACAAAATAAATATGAAATGATATTTTCAAATTCCACAAAAACAAATAATTTTTTCAAATTATTATGAGAATGTGATTTCATTCAAAAATGATAAGAAAAGTTAAGTATAAAATCAGTAGTCGTTCTTTATATTTGTTGTGAATTTTGATATTCGAGGAAGTTAATATGAGAGGAATTTGGTGTAAGTAATGGCATAAATTTACTATTTATAACGGGTCTGTTTATCCAGTAAGGCATATCACTTCACAATCACCACTACTATGCGGAAGGAACTTGGAAAGCAGTGATATTATCAAAGAAAACAAAGCACTGCGATCGAAAAAGATCTATCGTACATAGGCTTGTGTATTTAGGTTTTCTGTAAATCTTAGCAGAGTTTGTGGTTTATTGTTTCATAGCAAACGTTATCAGGAGGCATGTTATCTGAAGGCTCTTCACAGACAAAGGCATTATCTAAAGATACAAAGGCTTCATAGAAAGAAAGTCATACTAATGTTATTCTACGATTCGCCCGTTCGATATGAAGTTAATTAATTTCGATTATTTAAACATAATAAAATTATTTATATATGAAATTACTCATTTGTTATAAATAAGTTTAAATATGGAACTATAATATTCATATCAGTTTTAGTGGTTAAAGTATTTATTTCTTTCAGGACTTTCATCGGGTAAACCGAATGTGTCAGTATAGATTTCAAAAGTTATATTATTATCAACAAGTTAAATACTTTTGAAATAATTCATTTATTAAAATTCAAATCTCAGCTAAATACATGATACCTTGGATATTATCTGTCACTGAAATAGTGGTGCCAAATCAGTACACATTATGAACAACCATTAATAAGAACTTCAAAAAAAATATAAATCAAAGAAAATAAATTTGGACTCATAAAATACGAATATAATATGGAACATTTAAATATAACATATATACAAGTATATCTCAGAATCAACCCAAGTTCGGCATATTGCGTAGTGGTGAACGTTGTTCAAAGCAACCAATTTTACTAAAATTTATTGTTTCATTCATTCATCACTACTTTTATTGTAGTTCTTTTATTTTAGTTAATGAATTCATTAATGAATGAATGAAATAAATATAACATCTAAATAAACTTTTCATTTACAATTTATAAACAATTCCCATAAGATATATATCTCGAATCAGTAAATAATACATCTAACAGTAATAAATGATAACTAACAGTCGCCATTTGATGGCATATTTACTAAATTAAAGTTTAGTTAGTTGTAGTTATCAAAGTTCTTAAATAACGTTTGCCTGTCATTAAACGTTAATACTGAAATGAAAATAGAAAGACGTTTTTGCTATGCAGCAGAATTATCTAGAACTCCAACGCTTGTTTCATTCTGAGCACTTGTAATGGTACTGAAATTACATAGTCTACAATATGTATCTTTGAATGGATATCTTAAGAACCAAGCTACAGCGAAATACATATAACTTACTGGACAAAAATGATCAAAATGCTGGTTGTCACAAAAATCTGTTATCGTTATACGACATTGGAGAAATCAAATTCGGTTTAACATTAATTTGATCTGAATTGTTATACCAAAAATAATGATTGATATAATGTTTCATATCTTATAATTGTATTCATTATAATTTATTTATATAAATAATATATGAAACACTTCTTATCACGTTTTAAGCCATTATAAGTTTTGCAAGTTTTTTGGATGGTCACTTTATTTGGGATTTTGTCTAAGTCGGCTGTGCTTTTGAAAGCATTGGAAAAGTGGAGCTTATATTAACACTTCGAGCTTTATTGAGCTTACTGCCAATTTCATTCCAATAACATCAAACTGTAAGCAAAGAACGTAAATAAACGCGAAGACCGTATTATAATACAATACGGTTTTTGGTGTTCAAATCGAGGCGCCTAAACTTTATCCTGAGAGGATTCTAAAATTTCAATAACAACTTAAATAACTTAAGCTAATTAACATTAAAAACACAAAACTATAAGCTCTGTAGCTCTATAGCTCTGTAAACGCATAATAAACATAAATAACTTCCAGTGAGATAAAATATCTGAACTAAAAATTTATTTCGCTAGAATCCACAATAAAACCCAAAATGTTTGTTAAGGAAAATCTTTATTTCTATTTACAAACAAATATTTATACTACTAAATAATTTATCATTTTCCATTGCCTTTGATAGATTCTTACTTATAGACAATTTCGTTTCCAAATAGTGGCTTCGTACAGTAATAATTTTTACATAGGACTAAAACCGATAATATAACCACAGATCCACACATTTAATTATGGTTCGATCCATTAACGTAAAAATGTATTCAAACCTTATTAAAAATCCATGTTTAATTAAAATAAACTGTTAATAAACTGTTTTGTTAAAATAAATGGAGCTTTTTCCTTACCTGGGTACATATACGTATTTTGGATCGCTTCTTCTTATTTTATTTAAGGAATTGGAATAAAAAGGATTTGAGTGGAGCAAGGATTATATGGAGTTTCAAGAGTTGTGACCTTAACCAACTGCGAAATAATTGTTGTAAGAAATCAAATTTTTTGCTTTATGAATATTTCTGAATAATTACGTTAAGAATTATTTAGGAATAGCACGAGATGTGGAAATTGTTACTGGTTCTACAGACTGGATTCAAGTTTCCACCTTACACAATAGTATAATCTGTAAATAAAGGTTAGTAAGCATAGCTGTCAAAATAGGAAATTTATTTGAAATATATTTACTTTGATGTCCAGTCTAAAAAAGTTGATATTAATGGCATAAGCGTTTTTTCCGCTTCTTGCCGGCCTTGCGCTTTGTTTTTGGCTTAGGGCTCAGCTTTGACTTACATACAGGCTTCTTCTTCTTCGTGAGACATTTATTTTTCTTCTTCTTTGCACTAGGGCCACAATCCGGAACAACGTTCTCGGGACTCTTCGCGGTTGGTCTTCCCGGTCTTACCGGTCTTACTGGTTGGTAAATCGATTTTTCTTCGGCCGTCAGAGAGTCCCACGCGGCTCTGCCAATTCTAGCAGCCTGAACTGCTGTTAAATGCGAATTGCAGCCCTGGAATGTTTCCAAAAAGTTCAAAAAACGTTTCTCCTCGCTTTGCATATTCGCACCTCGTAGAATAACTTTTTCTTGAAAGAAAAATGAACTTTATAAAAATATATTTAGCGATCTCAAATTCGTAACTAACTCTATACAAAATAAATATGAAATGATATTTTCAAATTCCACAAAAACAAATAATTTTTTCAAATTATTATGAGAGTGTGATTTCATTCAAAAATGATAAGAAAAGTTAAGTATAAAATCAGTAGTCGTTCTTTGTATTTGTTGTGAATTTTGATATTCGAGGAAGTTAATATGACAGGAATTTGGTGTAAGTAATGGCACATCACTTCACAATCACCACTACTATGCGGAAGGAACTTGGAAAGCAGTGATATTATCAAAGAAAACAAAGCACTGCGATCGAAAAAGATCTATCGTACATAGGCTTGTGTATTTAGGTTTTCTGTAAATCTTAGCAGAGTTTGTGGTTTATTGTTTCATAGCAAACGTTATCAGGAGGCATGTTATCTGAAGGCTCTTCACAGACAAAGGCATTATCTAAACATTTATTACGAATGCACTCAGAAGTTCAGACATCAGTGTCGAATAGGCCTAACTTATTTAAGTGAAATAAGCCCTGAAGTATGCTTAGCAAAAGTAATTAAAACACCACAGTTGGTTACTCTAAGCAGTGAGCACTCCGGATCGTGTCTGGATGTTAGACTAGACTTTCTTGATTTTTTTTAAGCTTTTTTTTGATTTCTATTTGTTTCTTCACTAAACACTAATTTAATTTTATATAACTTCATTCAATATATTATAACTTTTATTATTTTAATTTAAATCAATTTAATTGTTAATGATTTAGAGAATGCTATACTAGTTCCAATATGCTATACTACTTTGCACTCTTCCCAATTTTTCGCGCAAAATCTTAAATACCGCTAATATGAATACGATTTACCAATGACCTTAATATTTACGTTATATTACGATACATGAACAAATACCGACATTACGATCTTTACTTGGAATATTACGTTTTTTATGCCGTAAAATCATAATTATTACACGGTAATATTCCCATCGAAAGTTGCTGAGAGTTGCTTGCCAGCTTTAAATGATATCAGCAGCGTTTGTAGAGTACGCCTAATATGGGTTCTGTTTATTACGGTATTGACAAAAATTTCGGTACGGATGAACTAGCCAGATAAGGTACTTAATGACAATAAAGTATAAACAGAAACGGGGGGGGGTATCGGAATATTTACCGGTGCTATATCGCCTATATTCGTTCTGTTCAAATGAATGCAACTGTCTAACGTTTAGGCTACTGTTGGCAAAACTTAATACCAAAAAAATAAATTTATTCAAAATCAATCAAATAGAGTTTGTGTCTGTTATCGAATGTTATAGGCTTTATAACGGAACACTGACTATTTTGTGGACCTAACTTTTAGACTGAATGTTCCCTTTAATGAATATTGAAGAAATTGTTGATATAATGAACTTCTTATGCAATTAGTTTCACCAATTTTTCCAAATTAATTAGAAAAAATCAAAATAAAATAATGAAGTCTGGTGTGTTATGGATTTGTTGAAACAAAAATAGATTTTATTGTATATTATATTTATTTTCTCTCAAGGATTACCGGACTTTGGTGTGTACTGCATATTTGTGGTATACAATTACTCTGACTTGCTCTTCTGTGTTTCAGCTTCTTCGGTCATTTGGTTGAATGAAGCAGCAGATCCTGTTGCATATTCTTTTCCTTTGGTCTTATTTTTGTTAGAGTATGTCAAGTATAGGAAATAATCGCGCTCGCGATACTCTTGATAAAGCTCCTCCATCGAAACTTCCGGGCTCGGTACAATGTCGTTTACAGTCAAATATAATGCATCGTTGTTTTCCATGTGGAGATGGTGACGTATGACGAATCTCAGTTGTTCAACTGTTAATTTTTTTGGTACAAGATATTTGACCTTTGCTAGATCGCCAGCACTGCACTCAGGCTCCTTCTCCATAATGACCGGAACACGGTTTGGATACTTTTTGCGTATGGTACTAGCCTCACTGCTGCGACAATCGAAGCCATACAACTCCTTGAAATACTGCGACACACCCGACATGTTTATTCAGTTGCACGTGCTGTGATGAACTCAAACGAAAAACAAAACTTCACACGTTCATTCTATGGAAAAGTGAATCCTAAAATGAAACATAGACTCAGACTGGACATGAGGAATTACTTCAGATTGTCATTAGAATGAGAGACGGAGACTTAATTTGGAAGACGGATATAAAATTATACATATGTTATGAAAATAAACGTAAAATAAATTTAAATAAAAACTTTACATATTTTACATTTTACAAAAGCATCGCCTACTAAGTATGTTTCCTAGTCATTATGTATAAGTATAACATACATGGCACGGTTTACGACTTTCTGCAGTACATAATGGTCATAATGATTTCACCCGAACTGTGTCAGAAATTATACTTCTCTGAAATTGATGCTTGAAAGGAATTTGATTTGATGACATTCCGGTCATCATTAACGGTTTTAACGAACATACTAAAGGATGTTTTGATCAGTGAGCTCAGAAAATGTTTTGAAAATGTAGTGAAATATTTCGAACGTTATGTTATCACGAAAGGAAGTTATTTTGATTAAACAATTTTCTAAAATCAAATCAATAATCAATTCCTTGGCGCCCTGATTTAACAACGAATTTTTTTTACCTCTCGTATATATATCTCAAGAAATAGAGGTTCGGAGTTGCATACTTTTTTATTGATTGCAATAACAAAAACCACACATGCTACCAACAATTATAAGTAATATTTACATTAAAGGTTTTATAGCCCACAAATATATATCAAAATCTAAGCTTTATTGATATATAGTCTGGGTAAAAATGTTACTCAAAATATATTTTCGTTTACTAAAACCCGAACCAATTAAGTTTGCTCAAGAAACCACTATCGTTTCACGTTTGGTATTTTTCTTTTTTTTGAAGTCCATCGAATCTCGGACTGACTTTATACGCTTAGTAATCTTGGTATTTACTTTGGTATATAGGCAGGCCCTATTTTTGAGGTTCAATGCTCCAATGGGAGATACAGGATTTGATGATAGGCAGATTTCAGATAAAGTGCTGCCTCCACTATACTTTGGTTTACCATTTAGTATAGTCATGGTCATGTCATTACTAAAGTCTTTCAAAGCTCCCTTGCTCCTCAATTCAGCACCTTTCTTGACTGCCAAAATGAACATAGTTTTCTCTTTCAATGATGCAGAAAGTGTGGAATTAGAAAAGGGACACACTGAGTAATATTTCTTCGTAAGTGAAATTTTCGCTTGGTGGAATTAAATTGTTGTTATTATAAAACATAATACCATTAAAGTTCACAAAATCTTTTAAAAAATAAAAATTTTGTTTTTTTTTGATTACGTTTATTTATATTTTTATTTATTTTAAATATTTTCAAAATTATTTTTCCTTCTTACACTTATATAAACAGTTTATTTTGCTAGTATTTATATTAGTTTTAGTTAGGCTTATTGTTTTAGGACATACACTAACAAAATTATATTTTTATATATATTTATGATAAAACTATAGTAAGAATATAACAAAATATGTTTTTAATTAAGAAAGGAACAACTGTTTTAATTTTTATTATTAATAAAACTTTAGTATAAAATTTTAAAAATCAACAAAAATTTTTACTTATTTTTAGCTTTGATAGTTTCGTTCAGTATTATTAAAATATTCTTTTTATTTATAATTATCGTATTTCCTAAAAAAAAATCTAAAAATTCGAAGCAATATATGAAAGTTGAGCTTTGAACCGGTGAGAGAAGCCTATAACGCACAGGACATTTTAAAACGAATATAGTTTCAGTTTAATTTTGATTTCTATTGATAACCCACTTGATCGAATAAACTCTGATTAAATTTTGAAAAAATATTTAGATCTGTATATGAGTAAATGAAAATGACAAACAGATCGTATCTGTGTAGAAAAATCGACAGGCTCTATCTCAGAAAAAACAACGTTTTATTTATGAAATTATGCTACATAGAACCCTCTAAAGTACAGCTAATAAATATTCTGACTTTGCTTATTTTAGGAAGTCATGAATTATACTCCCAAATATAAGTAACTCAAATATTATAGTTAGATAATTAAAAAAACAGTAAGTAATCATAACAACATTGTCCACAACAACCTACTTTGGGTTCTGTGATGAACCACCTACATATGCATAGCATGACCCTAAGACTCTCCTTATAAATTGTCCCATATACTGTACTAGTTATTTAATTTTGCTATGTCTCTGACAGTCTATATCATACATATATATACTACTAGTTTCACATAGCTACCAACACACATCCCCTGACGTCAGAGCAAACTGATGTCAGAGGACAAGCGGTGGTAGTAAACTTACGATGGAAAGAACTAAGAGACCTATTTGACATGTAGAGAGAAGAATGTGTAAATTATTTTTTAATATTTTTATAATTTACTTATATGACATCAGTTTCTGAACATTAAACACTTTTTCTAAGAATTTTAACCATAAACCGGATTTCTGCAAAATAATTATTTTTCGTCTTCCTGACAATAGATATAAAAATCGTTACTGTCTATTTTATCGCCTCCCTATATAGTTGTTTTCGTCTCATATCGGTCATGCAGTTACAATTGACTGACAAAAAGCAAGAGATTTCATAAAAACGATTTCATTATCTTTTACTGAATCTGTTAATGATTTAAAGTTTCTATTTATATGGATAGAGACGTGAAAAGAAATTAAGGACGTGAAAGGAAATGCATTATAGGCACAATTGAATGACTTGCATAATTTCTAAGAATTAAGATATAAAAAGTAAATGTAAAATTATTTAATCTATATAAATATATAATTTTACTAATGATAATAGTTTGCAGTTTAATAGAAATTTTTTTCTCATAAAAAACATTTTTTGAATGAGGATGCACCACTGATGGTGATTTCTCTATTAATTTTATTAAACTTAATAATTAATTTATAGAAATTTTATTTCTATTACTTTTTTTGTAGTATTATCTGATTTTATAATATTTTCATTTCATGTACAGACTGACCTTTTGGGCAGTTTAATAACACAGGTGTTAATATCGTTAATATTAAAATTGTATTTTATTTTGTTATTTCAACTATTGTTGAATAGTAGCTGACTAGAGTCGCTGACTATAGTAGCTGACTATAGTAGTTCACTACAGTCGCTGACTATAGTAGCTCACTACAGTCGCTGACTATACTAGCTCACTACAGTCGCTGACTATAGTAACTGACTGCAGTCGCTGACTATAGTAACTGACTACAGTCGCTGACTATAGTAACTGACTACAGTCGCTGACTATAGTAGCTTACTACAGTCGCTGACTACAGTCGTTGTCTATAGTAGCTGACTACAGTCGCTGACTATAGTAGCTGACGGCTATATTCCTTACACTTACACTGCAGTGAAACTAGATAGTTTCTGTCTTATTAAACTGTCGAATTAGTCCTCATGCACAACAAAAGTGTTTAATTTTATATTTATATAATTGTTTTTATTTTATTTTCCTTTTATTTTATTTTGATTTAATTTTTATTTCCACTATTATACTATTGTATAATTTTTATTTTGTATTGTTTAGTGCATTTTATTTTATTTTATTTTATTTTATTTTATTTTATTTTATTTTATTTTATTTTATTTTATTTTATTTTGATAATTTTTATTAAACTCATTAAACATTTTTCATAAATATTATTATATTATTATTATTGTTTTTATTTCGCGAATTCGCTTCATTTATTTCTTTTTTTTTGACTTAATTTATATATTATTATTTTTAATTTACTTTCGTTTTATATACATTTGTGATTCATGTTTAATCTACAATAATTTTTTATTGTATTTTATTGTATTTCGTATATTTAATTTAACAGTACTTTTACATTTTATACTGTTAATATTATATTTTTATTTAATTTTTTAGCTTTATTTAATTTTATCTATTAGACGGCTATGGCCGAATTTGAAATGCTTTTATTTTTCTTTTAGAAAAAATTACATATAATTTACATAAAAAATATTTCATAATTCGGTTTATTAGAAAATTTAATTCCATAATAACTATTTACTTTTATATATATATATATATTTATATACATACAACTACAACACTTATATGTAGTAATTAACATTACAATATTTATTGTTTTTTTTTTGTATTATTATTTGATTTGTTTAAAATAATATTGAATAATGAGAGTTATTTGATAAATGTTTGATCTTCTTTTAGTTTGGTTCTTAAAATTATTACATAAATTACATATATGAATGTATGTATATAGCTTATTAATGTTGTCTGAAATACACACATATATTTATATTTTTTTTTAATATATATAATTTATTTACAATATGGTTTACATTTAGTTTATATTCAGCACTGCAATACATTTTTATTAATTTTATTTTTATATTTTACAAAATGACTGTTATTACCTATTACTAACAACAGATTAAATAACATAAACCAGTAACAAACTAACCTCGCCACCCGCATATCTAGTAGAATGGAGACATGTTAATGAACATGGAATGTTAGTGTTAATAACAGAATCCTTTTAGAGTATTTACTAAAAACATAGACTTTCTATGTTTGTGATATTAATGTTATTATGAAGAAGAGTTCACAAGTGGTTAGATTTGCAGTTTTAAATATTTGATTTATTTCATTTTTGTTTAATCCTTCATTGATATGTTAACCCTTTTACTATTATAATAATAGTGGTAACATAGAATTTAAAAACAATTTGACATTGCCATACCTTTGTTTAGGTGGTTGATGATTGGTAAGATTAGCAGATCGCTTCAAACAGTATACATTTTTATTGAATTATGCAATTGTGTCATAGTCTAGTTTTAGTCTAGATGTTTGATGATGGCTTTATTAAAATAAGCTGATAGAGTAATTAAAGTTTCAGAAGCGGTCAGACAACGAGCCGGATCTACTCCTTCATGAGGACCAAGTGCACGTCATTCTTCTGTTGCAGTTTCGCCATTTTTTTGGATAATAAATAAATTGGCTGGTTTAAAACTAATTAATAGCTAACGACTAAAATAAAAACAAAATGGTATGTCACTTGTATATTTACTATGAACAGTAAATGAAAGAATATTAAAACAAAGACTAAAATAAAATTTTAGAAACTATCTATGATAAAAACTATCTATCTATCCAAACAATATGATACAGATAGCCAAGTAATAGCATAACATGATAATGTTAGTTAATTATAGTTAATGGTAATATCAATTCAAACCGTTTGAAAAACACTGAAGTAATCGACATATCAAAGTAAATAAAAAGAACTGTTATATATATAATATATATAGATGTATTTATAAATCATGACAGCTTTAATTAAACAGATATTATTCTTAGTCCAGTTTTATTTTTGCTGTATAGTAAAAAAAAATGATATTAAATGAGTTTCTACAGAAATGACATATATCCCCTATTAACAGTTATGAGGTGCAAATATTGTAGACAGAACTCACCAGTGGAAACCATTAAAAGAAGTAAACAAAAGATTTTTTTGATAAATTGATATGTATGGTTCCCCACGGTCATAAGAATTTTTTAGTTTTGTCTATTAAATTAATTTTGCTCAATTCAAATAAAAAAGATTCATCTAAAGGAACATCAAGAATAGAAAGTCTTCATATTCAATTTGAATTGATCGGTTATTTTTAGCTACAAAGAGCTAAGTAGACTCTAACTCGTGAAGATAGTATGCGATATAGAGAGGAGCCAAGAATATTTCACCCAAACATAAAATCAGAGGTGAATCATTCTACCAAAAAGAAAAATGAAGTAGTATCTTCTTATAAAATTCATCTTGTATTCCCTAAACATACATATACATATGCCCCTTACTCATTGACCCATTTCGATATTCGATCATTTTTTTTTGTTACCACCTAACATTCCCTATTTGTTTGCATATAATACTTTCCGAGTTAAATTTAAACTTTGGAATTAAAACTGTTAATAGAGTTCAACGGAAGTTTTCTCTATCTTAAGTTTATTGTTTGCGTTGAGTTGATATTTATTTGTGTTAAGTACAGCCTCTGTGCTATAGCCATGAGATCTTTCCAAGTTAAATTAAAGTTGTGAAGCTAAGACTGTTAAAATGCAATGGATGTATTTTATTATTAGCCGATTGTGTACGAAGAAATATTATTTATTTGTGTAAAGGATAAGTTTGGTTCAAATAACACTAGTGTTTGTGTGTAACCATTTAATGATAGTATTGTTTACTATGAAAACGGTTTTAACATGTCATATATTTTTCGTCATCGTTCTTAAGAAAATGAATCTAGGGACGATTTGATTTCTGGGGTGCTGCGATCTAATCGTCGCTTTTGTAAAATTTCATTATTCTAACTGTCTCCATTACACTATGTATACCATATGTTGAAATAATGTAGTTCTCAATAGGTCTACATTAAAAACATCAAAAAGGGTAATCGTTCTAGGCGGTGATGAAAACAATTTCAAAGTCAATGAAATTTTAAACTCAAAAATAATGTGCTCTAAATCGAAGCAAAATTAATTAAAAATTATTTTTTATTTATTTATTTGTGAGTCAACTCTAAAATTAATTTTAAAGTTAACAAAAAATAAATAATTGAACTACTAGGTTCTTCACTTTGTAAAATAAAAATTATTTTTGATATTTTCATACAGTTAAACGTTTTCCTTACAGTTTCTATTGCATATTTACAAAATTCTATGACTAGTCCAGGATTAACCTGATCTATATAATATATAAACTTACATTACTATACACTCATATTAATATGTAGCCGTTCGATATACATTTGCATTATGTTTGTCTATAGCTATCTATCAATATAGGCTTAATAACACGAAAATTCGTAATAATTTCATTCAATTTATGTTATTAATTATTATCAGCTCTAAAAATGTCTATATCCCATCTATTTGTTTCGAATTCTTCTCAATTACACTATCTTAAAATGAATCCGATGAAGTTTATTATCGGAATTATAAAACATCAAATAAATGTTAACCATTGAAAGGTGATAAAAAAAATTACATACCATATATGAAGTAATTGTAATTACTTATAAATACACTTAAAGATATATTTATGTATTATATATATGTAATACATATATATTATATATCCATGTTATTTGCTTTACTTAAACACACACATACATTGACATTGAATTAGTTATTAAAATGCTTAATATAATCCTTATTATCGGCAGTACCGATACTTAAAGTAGTTATATTTAATATAGTTTGTTTTTTAATTTACTTTTTACTTATTGATATACTGATTTCTTTGCATTTATTTGGTTCGATTTATTATTTCTCTTCCTCAAAGAGATATTAATATACATTTCATTCAATTCAAATCATACATCAGCTTTTCTGCATTATTTGGTTCTTCACAATCGAATGAGGCCATCATAAGTTCTGGAATAAAATGTGAAGAAGAGAAAAAACTTACTTTATATTTATATTTTTATGTTTTAGTTTAATATTAATTTTAATATTTTTTAAATAATACATAATAATAAATTGTTTCTTAAATTATTTAATTTTATTCAATTTAGTAGAGCTATGCCTTTCCGAAATACCGATATTTAATGTTGATAATTTTTTACATTGATAACAATAACAAAACACTGAACACACCATCTAGCGACAACTACTAAATGCAATTTGATTGTATACATTGAGTACACATACGTCTAGAGACAATGAGTATATAAGCTGGTTGTTGCAGATAACATGAAAGGAATTATTACGAATACATGGGTTAGGACGAGGATAGGTATTGGTTGTGTGGATTATTTGGGAGTCAGAATGAAATTGCGATGATTAGAATTTAAATTAAAGTTAACCAGGATCTAGGTGTAAAGATCTTGGTGGGGTAGGTCCAAAAATTGATTGCGCTCCAGTTATTGTATGCATTGCAACAAGAAAACAGATAGACGACATTATGGTGGATAGAATTGCACTTATGATGCACATTGGTCATTGATTCATGACAAGTAGCAGTTAAACATATGGTTACATCCAGATCTCAATCGAGCAGGGACAGTCATTGCTGCATAGAGAAGTTATCGCTCTTTCTGGGGATGTTAGGTGGGTGTCTATTGAGAACTTTGTTGCTGTGGATACTGTGTCTGTGTGGAGTGCAGTTATTCCAGGTTTATATTGCAACATACTGATATTAGCTCAATTGCTACAGGTATCGATATATCTTTTACATAAGGAAGAGAATCGACAAATGGACCTTGAAGGATGATCTTTACTAACTATTGCTTTCGAGTACGGCATGGTATACATTCCAGATCCTCGTCGAGTATGATGACCAAGTGACCTTCAGTACACCCAAATGAAACTACATACACCATTAGTAGCTTTGACAAAAATCTTCAACTTTTAATTCCAATAATCCGAAAGATAAGCTGTATTGCTATATTATGCGGTTAAAAAGTTGAAATAGATAGATGACTACGTAATCCCAGGAAACCAGAATCGAGTCTGTTTTTTAGTGAAAACTTTTTTAGTCTGCAGTAAGAATATATCTTGGAATCAAAAAGTAAATTAGCAGAAGTGAGTGAGGAAATATAAAAATTCTATTATAAACCCAATGCTAATCGAAGTCCTTGAAAACGTTGTTATGATTATTATTATTCCCTAATCAATTAGGACCTTAAGCTCTCAACAAAAGTATTCCAACAATTTGTATTTCGTGCTATTTGTCTTAATTCGTTTAACGATTTGCTAGATTTATGAAGTAGTGTTTTTGCCCCAGGTCATTTCAGGTTTGCCCCTGTGTCGTATTTCTTGATGTTTCCAGTTTAGTGCAGTGTCTGTAATGTCATCATAGGGTTTGCGTGATGTATGCTCTATTTACCCATATTTTCGCTTATACCATATCATCGTTTATATTTATTTGAGCCTCCATAACCATTTAAAACATTAATTGATTTAAGTCTTCATGTACATACTTTGGATCATAAGTGTTAAAACTTAAACCTGTAGTGTTGAATTTGAACCGTAGACTTGTTAAACCACACCACACTTTATTTAAATTGAAAACTATTCTTACAAAGCAAATGGATGAGAAGGATTGTATATTTTTCGACGCTCCGAGAAGCTAATAGGTTTTTCAAACCAAGGCGCTACTTCAGTACTTTCACTTATTAGTAAATAATGTCGAAAAAAACAATTTGTTTATTGTTTTAGCAATTCACTGAAAGCAGAACGCCCAACAATGGTTACATTTTCATGACGACACATACGCAACTACGCTTAAACGCATAAACGCATAAACGCATAAACGCAGGTCTGTAAATGGCAGTAACGGACAAGTGGAGGCTTTATAGCGTGCGTGCCTATGCATGCCTGAATACGCACACTCGCTTGCATAAATTTTTCCACTGAACGCACTCACTTAATGTACGAGTAAATCCATTAAAAACATGGAAGTTCTCGTTATGCATGCGCTGTACAGTGAAGTCCTGCCACTCTTTTGTGGCCGAATTGCTGCGTCTGAACTGTTTGCCAGTAGTGCATAGGTTAACAATGGAATGCAACTGGTCTGCAACTGGTACCGAAGTAGTTTGCAATTTTTCGGTCTCGTTTCGTTGATTTTAGTGCGAATTGTTTAGGCGTTCGGTTATGTTCAGGTAAGTTTTGACCTGGCCTGCGGTAAGTTGGCTTGGCCGTTAAGCGTACATTAAAAACAATTCTCGTCCTTGTTTATTTGTTTGTTTTTGTTCGTTTATTTGCTTACTGCATTTAGGCAATTCAGTGCACAATAGAAGATAAAAACGCTTCCATGTATCAACACGTGTTTGGCTTGCAAATTTATGTATAACCCCTAGTACACTTACTGGCAAAGCAGCACGTTCAGAAGGAATTTGAAGTATTTTTTGTTACGGTTTGATGAAAAAATGTGATGCCACTTTTTTTCATTTTTGTTTTTTGTTTTGTATATTACGCAAGAGCTTTACAAATTTGGCGGCCTACTAACCGTATCCTTCCTATCTTCATCCTTTTCATTAGTTAATTTTTTTCCTTGAAACTGTTCGTTGCATTTTTGTTTGGTTTGTGGTTGGCAGAATTTATTTTTGGAGCCTGTGAATTAGAGTGTGAAACCATTGCGCAAATTTGGTTAATTTTCATATTTGGCTACTCTGAAGAATTGCAATTATGCCATAAATTAAGTTACTTATCCACATTTGTTTAGCAAGTGAATGTTGTAGATAATTATCTAGTACATATTCACGCAGACATAATAAGATGGAAATATGACTGGATGGCGTAACGCTATACATTATGAAAAGGCATAAAGACTAGCATGGAAACTAAAAACGCTTTTTTATATGATTAATGCGATTTCTAAATTTTTAAAACATTATAATGATTTTGTATAGGCATGTAGCCAGAAAACACTTCAGAGAAAGCTTTTAGACAATTTTAGTCATTTAAAAATCGTATCTATCCTATTTAGTAGTCATAATGTTTCAATATTATTTTACATGTACATGTGTACAAAAATATGATCTTTTAATTAATTTCGGAGGAGGATTTACCCATGTTAGATCTTAGATAGGCCGTGCTCTTTCCCAAGAAATACACTATATTCAAACGTATAGCAATTGGTGCCGGTAGAATTCCTTGAAGTCATAACGGAGGCGTTAATCAGCATAATATACTGCAACACTTTTAAAATCTATGGACTCTATTAATGTTGTCATAAATTTCCTATTTTATATTTTTAAAATCGCGTCCGAGTTAATAAAAGACGTTTGCAAGTTTAAGTGAGTAGGTGAAAAACGATACTTGGTTCATAAGCTCATATTGCAGCTTGACTGCACTTGAAAGTTGACTCCAAATAGTTAGTTCCATTTCGGATTAAAAATCTGTGCCCTAGAATTCATATCATAAAAATCCATATAAAAAAACATTTTCCAAAAAGTTTGGACACTATAGAAACTTTCTTTATGTCAATTTTTTATGCAAAATGGATGTTAGAGTTTGGCTTATATAAAAAAATGCTCCAAAATATTTGGACACTGTAAAAATTTTGTTTTATTTAGAGTTTTATATAAATTTTTCATGCGAAATGAATGTTAATACTTGACTTATATAAAAAAATGTTCCAAAAAATTTGGACATTGTTTAAATTGGTTTTATTTAAAGTCTTATGACAATTTTTCATCCGAAATGAATGTTAGTACTCAGCGTATATAAAAAAAATGTTCCAAAAAATTTGGACATTGTTAAAATTGGTTTCATTTAGAGTTTTATGTCAATTTTTCATGCGAAATGAATGTTATTACCCGACTTTAGAAATAACCTAAATTAGTTTCACATTCTAAATGATGTAGTGCCCATATTAAATACAAAAAAAAAAAAAAATTATTTAGAAAATCTCCACTAGCTCTTGACAAGCTATTAAATCAAGTAAAAAAGAATACTAATTGATATACTTAAATGAATAAGAAGTTGTCACATTGAAAGCAGTAGCGGTAATAATAATAACAATAATAATAGTAATATAGAATTCGTTAGCCAAAGAACAATAGAACAAATCTTCAAGTAAAAGTTTTCATTATCTTGAAAGCAATTAAATTTTTTTCTTTTTTTTTTGTTTGTTTTTGCTTTTTAGAGGTAAGAAATTGAAAAACTTCCGTGAATTTATTTAAAACCAACAAAATATATTCAATATCTGAATGAAAAGTTTACGAATTCTATAGAGACAGCAATAAGAAATAACGAGATGTAAAGTGGTATAGAGGTGCAGTGGGAGGCAACAACAATATGTCAGTTAAATTGCAGCGTCAAACGCCATGCACGGCTACCAATTCAAGTTGTATGCACAGTGCACAGTGCACAGTGCACAGTGCACAGTGCAGCCCTTAACTCAGATACACTCTACTTGACTTCACATTGCTTTGACTTGTATTAATACTGAACAACTAATAACAACAATAACAAACAGCACAAATAGCACAAACAGCATAAACAGTGACAATAACGCAAATATTTACAACAATAGAAATAGAAATAACAGAAACAGCAACAAGAACAAAAACAACAGTGAAAGTAACAGTAAGAAAAACAATAATAGCGACAACGACAACGACAACGACAACGACAACGACAACGACAACAACAAAACGTTCACAGGACAGAAATAAATTGCTGCATAATTAAAACAAAACCATACAACAAAAATAAAATTATGTTTGGAAGCCATAAGCTAAGCTATTTGTCACAACAATTGAAGTAGTTAAGTTTCTTGTTGTTGTTGTAGTTGTTGTTTTTGTTACGCTGCTGTTTATATTTTTATTGCTGTAGTAGCAATATATGCCGCTTAGGGACAACTTAAAATTGCACTTTGAATAAGCATAATTTTTATTTCTCCATTTTTATTATTAATATTTGCGTCC